CATTTCTCCCGTCGATTTCCCACAATGATCCCCATAATGAGCTTTATAAATAACAGGAAATTACTTCAGTTGCTTATACCAACATCCCTGTTCTTTTGGACCCACTGAAATAAAAAGAAGTATAGAGCCCAAATACTGGCAAAATATTTAGAATTGGGTTTTGCCTTACATTTGTCCATGGCTGTTGTTTAAAACTGTCTTTCTTTGTTCCTTTAGATCTGTGCTCCACTCCTTCTGATGAGAAGCCTGATCCAAGGTCTCACAAACCTGAGGAACACCTGCTAAACACTAAAAACTGGGATTCTTTGTTCTAAAAGCTATGGATGGAAAAATACAGTAGGTGTATGCTGAGGGGCAGCTACTCCTTGTCACAGAATGGAAATATCCCTTGAGCAACAAGAACAATGTGTACTGGAGATTCCCTTGTACGTGTGAAGGTTCCCAGATATTCCTTCTTCTTTCAATGAATTTCCTGACATAGTGTCTGCTTTGCCTTACATTTTCATCCGCTACCCAATAATCAGATACTTGTAGAGGGGATGCTGATTCTTCTGAACACCTTCCCAACACGTCTTTACCTTCTGCTCTGTTGTCTGTTCTTAGAAGATTATTCTTGCACCTGCTGACCTTCGGAAGAATAAGATCCTGAGGTTTTTAATTCCCAGTCTATGGGGTTTTTTTTGCTAAATAATAGTCACCAATTCACTCAGGGAACTCCTTTCTCTTTGTCACTCCCCAAAAGAGGGTGGAGAAGGTAGAATAAAAAAAGAAGATTCATGAATTTATTCACAGTCAGTACAGGGCTGGGTGGTCAGTCCACACAAGTCTCATATTGGATGCTTAGTTAACTTCTAATTCACACTGTTACAGGAATGACATCAGACAGGAGAATGTTTAGTAGCTGCTGAAATTAAGTGTCTTCACAGAAATATACCTACAAAGAGAGTTTAGTTTGTGGAGTGCTGGCTGCTCGGCCTCCTGAGAGAACAGCTGAGTCAAGCCTCAGTGAAGCTCCAGGGACTGACAAACATCATTTATTCTGTACAGGATAAATCTAAGGTGCAATTAAGCTCCTTTGGAGCAAACTAGCTTCAACTAGCAAGTTAAAAGTCACTGCAACTTTCAAGGTCAAAATGGGAGATTTATGGAAAATGTAGTTTTACTGAGGACTCAAGGTGAAAGAAAGAGGCATGCTGAGGTTGATGTAATGTGTGTCTGTGAGCAGGAGCAAACACAAAGCAAAGTTTAGCCATGTTTCCCTGAGAGAGTAAGCCATAAGGAGGGTTTTATGAACAGGAGGTTGGCTAAAACAGACCTCAGACTGCAAGCAGAGGCAATAGTTCTGCATGTGGGTGAGCATAGAATACATGAAATGTATGTATCTGTAAATAAATAAGCTTACATTAAAAATGTATTCTCATTAATTTAATCTTTAACAGACAAAAGCCCCTGATATTAATTAACTGCTTGTCTTAAAGGGTTAAAAACCCTATGTCTGAGCAGAGTGGTACATAATGCAACTGAAGCCTTACTTTTGGTGAAATCTAAGAGATTTCTCCTTGAATCGATAAGCATAAACCATTTTAATTTTATTTTGTTCATAACATTGAAGATGATCTTTGTGCTCCTAGTGTTTAAGTTCTGAGCATGAAGAGACAGAATTTCAGCTAGATGCCCAAGGAGTTAACTACATAATTCCTATTACAGTTAATTAAATAAAATTATAATAACTATAATTAAAAACAAGGGATTAATCCTATAAAGTAATTTAAAGGGACTGATGGATGGAAGGCACTATACCATTTTAATCAAATTACCACTGACTCATGGTGAGTGAAGGTTATACAACCAGAAATGTGATTGTAAGCAGATCCAGAATAAATACTGCTCAGTATTAAATATGTGCAAAGTATTGAAGAAACAAATCTCCTCTAAAAACAAAACATACCAAAAAATCTTATATAGGGCAGAATATTCTCCCAAGTTTTAATGTACTTACCACGCAGTTGAAGTTTGGAATAGTTGCATATTTGTAAGAGTAAGGGTACAGCAGCATCTGTGCATATGCATGGAAGGACAAATAAGCTTTTATTTGTTTCCGATGTTTGCGCAGAAAATGAGCAACAGCCTTTACTTCAGGCTCAGACTCAGGAAAGGGACCACAGTAGGTGTCATCACATGGGTGAAATGAAGCACCTTCATCTAGAGATTGAAAGAGAAGAGTGATGGTGATGATCACAGAGAATTTCCAAGGGTCAACTTCTGGCTCAACCTTTTTTGGCCCATGTGCAAAAGCATGAAAAGTAATAAACAAATTGCTTTCTTGTGGCTGATGGGCATGAGCCAGTGGGACCTCAGCACAGCAATCTGCTTGTTCACCTAGTAGACACATCAAGTTGCCAATTGGCCAACTACATGCTGTTCTCCCCAGGGGACATATTCTTAACCCAACAGAAAAAGGAGAGCCTTACTTTACTGTATTTTCTTCCTTGGCTTTCTGTGTGATCAGCACATTTTATGACAGCATTCCAGTCTTAAAACTATTGATGGGTCTCAGTTGGTCTATTTGAGATTAGGAAGCTATACCTCTTTCATTGTCACTACCATGACAAATCTAGCCTTTAAGTGCTTTTACTGTACTAGCTAATACAGCGGTGGTTACGATGATAGGTAGATAACCTCAAGAGGCATTATCTTAGAGACTGGTTTAAAACATGACAGTATTTCCTGACTATGGCCTTTTTTCACCCTTGCAAACCTTATGGGGAAAAAATGACAAGCCACACAGGATGATTGGACAGTTAGCTGAAATAAAAATCATCTCAGTTTGCACAGGGCCTAATTTTCCTTCAAGGTTGAGGCAGGGCTTCAGTTGTGAGGATATCTTTCACTATGTCAACCTGCTCAGGTGGCAGCAAGCTGCACCAGAGTAGCCTCCCTGTCATATCCCATGAGGTACTGAAAGATGAAACTTAGAAAAGGAGATGTGGCGTCAGCTCCTTCATCATTTAGCAATTCTGGATCTAAGCCATCATCTCATTTACAGCTTAGGGCCTGGGCTTAAGAGAACAATATTTATGCAAATCCACTCTGCTCTTTTATCTGCCGTGATTTCAAAATACCACGTTTTACACTGACCTGCAGAATAATAATAGATTGTTTGCAAAATTCTCTGGTGCCATCAGGGACTTAAAAAGCAGTGTTTTATTAGCTTTCCTTTGTATAGTAAGTACTGCCATCTTTGATTGATAAGAAAAGAGCAATGTGTGAGAAGGCATAATGATATGAACTAAAACAGGGTTATGCAATCAACCTAATGCCACAAAAATTAAAAAGTGGAAGAATTTCATGCAGCATTTTCATTTGTAAGATGAACATTGAGGCAACCATTCAATGGCCACAGGTGGGGATTTCAAAAGGTATTAGTGCCTGGATTGCAGTGGATATGGAAGGGTTATATAGAGGGCAGATGGTCTCCTCCATGCAGAGCAGATGGCCACCAAGTCATCTAAATCCCATGAGCACTCTGCCTCGATGTCTTGTCAGATAACATAGCTAAAGGAGAGCTATTTAACAGAGCCTCCAGAGCCTTTGCTTTTTTTTATGGATACTTCACCTTTTGTAACAGTGTTGTATACTGAATCATGGAAATGGAAATCACTGTTAATAAACAGTGGAATCCTACCAGCCCATGGTAAAATGACCCAGTGGTAAAATATGACTCAGTTTTGTTTTAATGAAGGTAAAACCTCTCTAAACTGTCCAGCCTATTATTGTGAGCTATTTGCAATCGCAGCTGTAGTTAATGCTTTTCCTTAAGTGAGGCTGGCTGGTAGTAAGAGAGAGGGTTTCCATGGTGGCCTTGGATAATGCAAGGTTAGCCTCAATTTTCACACTGGAAGTTCTTTTAAAGTACCTCAAGAAGGGAAAAAAATGATACACTATGCATGAACTCGTGTGAAATTTCTGAGTTTCAATCATGAGAAATAAAATTGTGTAAAATGTTGCCATGCTGCCTTATTTTTTGTACCTGATAGCAAAATGGGGGAGGAGAACTACCCTCTAACATTCATCATGAGATCAAATGAACAAAGGAAGTATGTGCAGAGACTGATAAAACCAATGCTATGGTGTAGAAAGAAGACTGGGAGGATGAATGAACTGCAGCATGATTCTGAAACTTCCTTGCAGCCACTTCTGCCAATATGGGAAACTCCTCAGTAAGCACTGAGGCTTGCTGGAAATCGGGATACACTGGAAATTTTAATTCCACTGTTGCGCACTTGGGGGATTCAGATGCAACCCCTTTAACTGGACATAATTTGGTTCTAAGGAAGTACCTCATTATTTGCTTTAAAGTTGCTGTTTGTTTTATGATCACTAAACCATTGTGCTAGTTATTGCACACATATATGTATGTATGTATATACTGCAGACATATGTGTATTGCAAGGAGCATTCCCAGAGTGCTTGCTGTCAGTATTCACCTGGGCCTGTGTGCAATTTCTGTGCACTATTTTGCGTACAGGCTGCAAGAGGAAACCTAGCAGAACCAGTGATATGGCCCTTTACTTGTCCCTAGAGAATCATAAAGCTTACATCAAAGTCCTACACTAGAAGGGGAGAGGAAAGCAGACGGGATGCTGTGTTATCTGCACTGGCTAGCTCACTGTTGATAGCATGTGGTGCCTTTGCTGGGGCCAGATTCTGCCACAACACACCTGTCTGGAAGCCCCACAGTGAAGTTCAAACCTGTCTGCAAGCTCTAAGTGCAGCTGAACTGAATGAAAAGGTTTTTACAAGAACATGCAGTTTTAAATGTTAAAACACACCATGATTATACAAGCCTCAAAGTGTGATATGATCCAGATTCTTCTCTGCCTCATTTAATGTCAGATATTAATGAGAACATGGGTCAATGGGCTAGGATCTTCTGAACACCAGTCAGCCCAGTTCATGAAAGAGCTCTTTATTCTCTGGCAGGACAGAGAATCAGACAGAGTTTTGGGGTCCAGTGGGGGAAGCAGAGTGTGTACTTGGTAGGATGACGAGCAAGCTTGAAGGAATTTTTATGTTTTTAAACACAGAGTGGGGACCTGCCTTTCATGTTCAGTGCTAGGGAGAAATGCAACAAGTAGGGGATTACAACACACAACACGTGGGTATTGTTAAATATTTTCCACTCAGCCTAGAAAAAAATAGTTTTTTTAATGAAAACTAAGAAAACATTTTTAGGACTGAGTAAAATGTGTGCTTTAATAGAGTGGCTAGGGAGAAGGAAGAGGGAGGAGCAGAGCAATTTGAACCCAAGAAGGATTAATTCGGACTGGAAAGAAAATGCACTGAGTATTAATGTTGCACTGATAGGTACCTAAAATCTGTCTCTGAAGACTTTGTAAGAGAGTTCTTTGTAAGAACAAATGTAAGAATCTCTTTGTAAGAGATCATTCCAATTATGCCAGGGGAATGTCCTCAAAAAATCTGCAGTTGTGACTTACGCACGTAAGTAAAATGATGGCAACACTGATGCAGGAATAGTTCATTTTAATATTATTTTTGCAGCATGAAATTGCCTTAAACATATTGATAGCAGCCCTGGGATTGCCTTCTGTAGCAGAGGGATTCTCAGCTGACACAGGCTTTCTGTAACGGCTTCTGTGTCAGTCCTCTCTTTACGGCAAGTAGAGTTGAAAAAAATGGAAGCTTATTTCACAGGTCCATGCTGTGTTGAATGTATGCTTCTGTGCACTCACTGCATTTCTAGTCTTCCCAGGCAGATTATTCACACTCACTTTTAACCTCACAGTTCTCAGAAATCTACTTATAGAATCCAGTCATTGCAAGCCAGATTGTACTCACTCCTGTAGCAAGTGCTCACTCCTATTGCAGGCAATTGGAGCATTCTGGGAACATCTAGAGACTTTCAGCAGAAGAGGCTGAAGGAAGGACCCTTGCAGTAGAGCTAAGCAAAGAAAATTTGTTGTCTTTACAAGCTTATAACATAGATAAAGAAGGTGGACAAATGCTGGAGGAGAAAACAGCTGCACAGAGAGGTGAAGGAAGCTGCTCAAGATGAGAGAGCAGATCAGCAGGTATATATTTCTGTATTTCACAGCAAAGTGTTCTTAGTTTCTTACACCAGAACTTACAGGGTTTCTGACTCCTGTGTCAGCTGCACTGTCTTCCTGTAAGGTTTATTAAAATACTATTTCTTCTTCAGTGGACCTGTTCCAAATCTCCTGCTAGTATTTCATTACAGCTGCATTCTCAATGCAAATCGGAGGCCAATTTTTATGAAAGTATTTACAGAAGTGCTGGGAATTTAAAATTGTACCTCCATGCATTTAGAAGCCTCTCTTTTTGTTATAAAATAACTGGTAATAATGGTCTGAAGGCCATTGAGGCCAACAAATGTTGCCATTTCCAAAGCTAAAATTATTTCAGAGAAATGGCAAATTGAATAAAATGCAGTTTGAAATGTTTCCTAAAGATGTAGTCAGGTAGATCCCGAAAAGTGATGGGCTAGGCTCAATATTGTGCCTCAAATGATTCATATGATTGCCGAAATGCAGAATAACTGGGTGTGTGATTTATTATTTTTTTTTTATGTTTGCCACATTCTCCATGAAAACCTTTTACTTATGATAAGGTCTGTTTTTCCAGAATTCAGTACTTTTATTTTCTTAGAAGCTAGAAGGAAGATTTGAGCCCTGGTTTGTGGCTTTATGGGAAAGTTTCTTCAGCTTTAACGGTGGAAAAGAGAATACTTCATGACAGACATGACCTAACCTACTTGGATAATTACCTCTGTTGGATAATTAAATACAGGGTAATCTGAACTGGTGGACCAAAGTATCTCCATACTTACCACACCATTTCACTTTCCAGTTGCGATTAGCATCAACACCATGACAGTGAAACCTTGTGTTCTTTGATCTTGTTTTTCTCCAAAATCGATCCTAACATAAGTTGCAAAATATTTAGATAGCAATAGTACTATATTTTGGCAAAAAATCTATTTGTACACAACAAATCAACCCTGGTAAACATATTCAGTATTCTATTTTAACTGGAGTTATTTACTTCCATATTGCAAGGCACAAAGTGATGGACCAAGTTATAGAGAAAGTCACCTTTGAATGACCTAAGAACCATTTGATTTTTCCTGTCTCAGTAATTTTGTGAGTAATACCACTGACATTACTTACATATGTCCAGCTAAAATGATATCCATCCACATTAAATACAGGCATGATATAGAAATACAGCTGAGTTAGCATCTTTCTCATGGCAGGATCGGTCTGGTATGTCTGGAGAGCCTAAAGCAGAAAAGCCAAAGAAAGTAGTTTCCATTAAAAAAATAATTTCCCCGTTAAGTGTTGTGATGGGCTAAGACAGTCATTAAGCCTTTGACAGTACAGAGATCTGATCTCAAGGCACCACAGACATCCTTAGAGCTGTGCTCGAAAGACTGACATCTTCCTGCAAATGTGATTCACACAGCAAGTGAACATGTTAAAAAGGTGTTCAAAAGACCCTATCCTCTATGCTTCTCAGCTATTTTCAGTCAAGAAAATACAACTCACATTACAGAGAAGCAAATGCATACAAAGCCTTTCTTGATGTAGGAGCTGAAAGTCAGTGGAATAGACTCCTATTTGAAGAAATGAGTTTAACTCCTGTAAGACAACAGAGTCATGTTGATTCCAGCAGGTAATACTTTCATAGAATCATAGAATCATAGAATTAAAGGGTTGGAATGGACCATACAGATCATCTAGTCCCAACCCTCCCTGCCATGGGCAGGGACACCTCCTCACTAGATCAGGTTGCTCAAGGTCTCATCCAGTCTGGTCTTGAACACCACCAGGGTCAGGGCAGCTACCACATCCCTGGGCAACCTGTTCCAATGTCTCACCACCCTCACAGGGAAAAACATTTTTCTAACATCCAGTCTAAACTTCCCCTCCTTCAGTTTGAATCCATTACCCCTTGTCCCATCATTGCAGTTCTTAACAAAGAGTGCCTCTCCAGCTCCCTTGTAGGTCCCCTTCATATATTGAAAAGTTGCTCCACGAAGTCTCCTCTTCTCCAGGCTGAACAGGCCCAGCTTCCTCAGCCTGTCCTTTTGCCAACTTCATGGCTTCCTCTGGACTTGCTCCAACAGTTCCATGTCCTTCTTATGTTGAGGACACCAGAACTGCAGGCAGTATTCCAGGTGGGGGTCTCACAAGCGACCCATTTGATAAGGCCCTAAAGCATTTAGGGCTCACATTACATAAGCTTTTTTTGTATTTGATGTGATTTATTATATGCAGAATTACCAATACAGGCAGCTTATTCCTTTATAATTTAGAAATCCCTCTACTGTTGGAGAACCTTAAGTATAAAGTTTAGTAGAGGAAGTCTAGACAGGGAAAGCATTTTTTTCCATACTGCATCTTAGAAAAACACAGCAAAAATCAGGGGCTCCTCAGCAGTTCTGTTTGAAAGTGCCAGAGATTTGCCTTTACCAGTTCCAGGAAGCTCAGACTCCATATGCTGTAACAAATATTGTCCCTTGTCATAGCTGGGCGTCAAATTTGCATCTTCAAAGTTTAAGTCTTGATTCTGCAAGGTGAGGAATCAGTGCTCTATGTGGCAGGCAGAAAACGTATTGCACCGACAACTGGGTTCAGAGGGATGCCTGAGCCTGTGTGCTGTGATTACAGACTTCTGCTCTGCAGTGTTTCTGGCCCTTCAGATCTGAAGAGTAGCATGTGTTTGGAGGGCAAAGGGAAACATTTGCTATGAAACAAGCTAAGCTAAATGCTTTTCAATTGGCAAATACCAGGGAACAGTGTGAAGTACAGGAATTCAATACTTCTGGGCTACTAACCATGCAGCTGTTTGAATTACAGAAGCTGCCATGGGAGCTGACGGATGCCTTTTGTGGAATATCTGTAAGAAATAACCATACAATCGGACATATCTGGGGCTAAAATGTACTCTTGGAGGAGTATGACTTTTTTCTTTATTGAGGGGATTAGTGAGACTTCTAATTACTTTTTCTAGGGGTTCATTAACCACCTCTCTGTTGTGCGGTGCCTTCTCCTCACACAGTTTCATCTTCCCCTCCCAGCAGTGTTCTGCACGTGCAAGTCCTTCAGCCTCACTTGCAGATCCAAAGCAGCATGTCATCCCTGTGCAAAGCCAAGTCACCCAGTGATACTCCACACAGAGATTCTCTTCTCTTTCAGCCAGGCAAGAGGAAGGGAAGGTGAGCAATAGAGGGCAAAGGGGCACAGCAGAGTTTGAAATGAGACTTAGGCAGCAGCTGGAATACACAGTGTGCAGCATTGCAGGGTGGGGTGAGAGCCTGAAAGAGGAGTTATCATAGGGGAGAAGGAGATGACAGCAGGCTTTGGAGGAGAAGCTTGATGGACTGCCTGGGAGACAGTCCCTGGCCAATGCAGAAAGTTCCCTGGCCCAAGTGCCAGAAATTCCCCAAAGATTCTTAGCTGGGATAGTATTGCATTTAAATTTGATTTACTTGTATTAGGAAGGCACATCAAGTCTTCAAATAGATTTGGATAAAATATTGGTGTTCAGGGAACTGATTAACAAAATTAATTTTGTCAAAACTTAAAGCAATGATTACTCAAAAGTGATGACAGTGAAAGCAAGGGCTCATTGCTGTTCCACATACAGAAAGCACATACTGCAGGAACTAGGGCTACTATGTGTGTTAGGCTAGTCTTGAACTTAAATCTGCACAGCATTAAGAGTCTATATGGTAAGTCTGGATATTAAATTGGTAAAACTGTTTTTACAGTGGAAACAGAACCAAGCCATCCTCCAAAATGTGAGTCAAGGAAAATGAACATTTTTATCATGCTTATTTCAGGGAGGAGTAATTTAGCTGGGAAGGAAATAAGGTATCACATATGACTTCCTTGACATTTTAATGCTTTTCTTTTTTTAGACAGAATTGTCAATTTAAGCTCAGGTGTGTCTCCATGGCAGGTATTTACACACCAGTGATAATGAGACTGGCCATTCTTTTGCTGTCAGTTACAGCTGTCATTATGCATTTTGCTACATGGTAGTGTTATATACTGTGTTTTAAACTGCAATGCGATAAGACCAGACTCTTTAAAACAGTTTGAAAATCATATCCTTAAAACAACTACAGATAATTAATTAAGGTAATACACTGCTTAAAACTACATGGATAAGCTTTGCAAATTTTTCAGAATCTTTCCAGATTTTCAAAAAAAGACATAATGAAAATATTTTAATTATGACTTTTTAATATACGTTATAAATCCTGTGAAGAATATACTTTTCTTGCTAAGTAAAAGCACCACCATTTAGAAACCTAAACAAGACATAGACAGCAAAATGCCAAGCACCCTTTCATTTTTTAAAGTTACTCTGCTGTCATTGACAAAATATTAGAAGAAACTTTAGAAAGCATTATAATCACCAGTAATAATCTTCCAAATTTAAAGTCTTAAAGTTGATTTAGAGCCAAACATGTCAATCATTCAGTTCTGTTCTTTAAAGCATACATGGGTTTTCTAGAGTAGCATTTCATTAAAAGTGTAGTGGACCTAGTGCAGGTTTCTTCTTCATGGAAAGCAAAAGTGTGGATGGTGTAAGTGAGATCATATTCACTCTGCTGAAAATGTCTTTCATGCTGCTTTTATCTGGCAATTTTATTTGATTTATATAATCAGGCAATGCAGACTGTATTATCTTTGGCAATGTGCTTTACAGTTACCAAGGTGTGTCCTTGCTGGAGCAAAGCCCACAATTTGCCTCTTTTGTCGTGACTCTCAAATCCTCCCAACAACGACCATGTGAACCACCTCCCCCCACTCCCTCCGGCAGTGTTGAAACATTTTCTCTTTGCTGTGACACAAGCAAGGCAAATATAAACCATTTGTGAATTAACTGCATTGTAGTTTGCACAGAGCTCTCAGAATATGGCTTGATTCTGCTTCCCCATCAGGCAATCAATAGCAGCTTTGCTGCTGAATGTGCAGAGAGCCAGACCGGCCCAATAAATGCTGAATAGTGTTATTAGCGAGTGAACAGATGATGCAGGAACCCTGCCAACACGAGCAAGCAATCTGCCTGGGGGATGGGGGAAAGGACCAGTGATTAATAGGAGGGGGCTCGATCATCTGCATCAGCTGAGTGGTGATTGTTGATAGAGCTACACCAGCTTAGGCTGGCTGAGGATCTGCTCCATAGGAAATTTAATTTAGGGGACGACGTAAACAAAAGAGCTATATTGTAAACTGCCAAGGCAATAGAAGGCAAGAGTGTAAAATGGATTTAGGATGCAGTTGGGCTTTTTGTAAAATAAGGGGATTGACTGAGAAGGACAAAGCAAGGAGACGGTTGAGAGAAACTCTGAAATTGCAGTTGAGCTCAATAACAATTTGCTATCCCTCAATTAATTCTTATTAAATTTAAGGTAACAATCAGCTTTTGCTGGTTTTGAATTAAACAATCACACTGAATTAAACAGTTCCTATTTAGCACAAGAAATTGACTCTATTACTGTTCTACCCGAAATCACATAAAACTGCTTCTGACAAGACAGGATTAACTCTTCCACGCCATTATTAAGATAAATCAGTTAAAACCCCTTTCTGACAGTAACATACAATATTTTCCTATTATCTGTGCATCTTATATGTTAGCAGGGTGATCTGCCATTCAGGCTTTCATTGCCACTTTATCAGTTTGGCAAGTTAGTAGTTAGCTCTGTCTCTGTACTTGGAAGCAGTACAGCTTTTAATCTCCATTTTCCCTTTTACTGCTAGTGTCCTGCTTTGGTATTCAAATCACAGGCAGAGTGTAAGCCTGTTATTAAGGCTAACATGCAACTGAGTATCTAAAAACAAATGGCTTAAAACCAAGGGTCAAACCTTCAAGGTTGAAACTTGAACTGTGTCTGATTGATTTATTTTTTTTAACACTAAGCAAAACCTTCCTTCCTCTTTGTGACCATTTACCACAGAAGGAACACAGAAATAACTGAGAAAGGTGTGTGCTGCAACTACTCTGCAACACTCAGAAGAGAGCCCATAAAGAGTCTGACAAGAAGGATACACAGGATCCCAAAGGCTTGATTACGCTGCTGCTTAAGGATGCAATGGAGAAGATGCTGAAGCAGAGAAGAGGCCAGTTGTGTGATTGACATGTTAGAGAAGCAAACAGCCATTCCAGGAAGCTGGTGCAAGGCTGGGACCACTCAAGCAAAGGCAGAATCTTGTGAGGAAGAAGCTGCATAGAGGCACAAATCTTAGTGGGAAAAAGAGAC